CTTGGGTAGGAGGAGCTGAAGTGTCCCTGTAGTCAAAAGTGTAGGTTGGCTACCAAGCACCCAAATTTTGACCACATGACAACATGAATGCTGCAATGTCATAATAACTTTGAGCAGTTGTTGAACACATATTTGCCTGGGATTTCATGTGTTACAAATTACATTAAAGTGTAATACTCCTTTCACTTATTTTATATATAAAGTCAGCTAAATGTAATGTATCAGTAATTAGATTCAGTAAATGTTTGCACCACCTTTAGAGTCAATAACTGCGACTATAGTTTCCATATTTGATGAGAAGTAGCTCACACTGCTGTGTAGAAATGTGGAGATCTGCTTCAACTCAGTAATATTCATGGGGTTTCTAATATGAACTGCATTTTTTAACCTTCCAAAACATTGGATTTAGACTTCTTCATCTATTCCCTAATAGATGTGCTTCTATGTTTGGGATCTTTATCTTTATACACACTTGTGCTTCAACTTCAGCTGATGAAGATATGGCCTGATAATCTTCTGTGGAATTTATGTTTCTTTCAATAATGGCAAGTTGATGAGGCAGCAAAACATTATTATCATTATTATATGTAATATCCCAACTGTATTTTGTACAACTCTGGAGGACTTAAGGACTATCCCATGAGGTCAGACTCTTTGTTCCCCTGGCTTTGGTCAGAAGACCTGAGATCCACCAATAATTCATCCCCCCTCTGTGCCATGGACTCCCTGCGTCGGACCTATGTATTCCAGGACGGTCCTGCTGGCCCTGCGCGACTCACCCCTCGCGCAGGCCTGGCCCAGCAACATTTCTAGGGCCTACCTCGAGGACGGGACGTGGANCCCCCCCCCCCCCGTCTTCCAAGACTCGGCTGGAGACTGTTTTTTGAGGATCATCCTTTACAGGTCATATTCAGAAGCTCTGTAGTTCTGTATTTTAAATTCAGAAATTGTAGCAAGGATAATGAACAAAAGAGCTAAGAATGCCTTCTCCCAGTAGAAAATGCCCAGTTATGGTTCCGGGGGGAAAGTACAGGTATGCCTGTAACTTATGACCCACCATTGGACTGGATTTTCCATTGTAAACAATGCAGCTGTAAAAAGCTAGATTTGTTAGACAGCATTGCTTAGCAAATATAATCACAGCAATCCTTGTTGCTGTCATTAACTAAGAAGTGAGTAGCTATCGCTATCCAAGCCACTTCAGGCTTAGTCCCACTCAGCTCCTAGCCACTGTAGATAAGAGTCTGCCTCCAATTCCCCCACCTGTGATCTCTTCTCTTTCATTGCTCTTTTAGCCATCCTGCAAAGTGGCAAGCAGCCCCAGAATCATGTAGCTCTGGGGCTGCTTGCTATACTATGGAAAGCTGCAACTGCCCCTATCCAGTCCCAGTCACCCTTACTCTGCACTCCAAAATTCTTGCAACCCCCTGTGCTCCCCACCCTAACTAGCCACTGTCTTCTTGTTCCTGCAGTGTGCCTGGCCTTCTGTGCCAGGCTTGGGCTGGGGGGGGGGGAAGGGGCAGAGTCAAAAGCAGCCCCATAGCTCCTTTGCATAAAGCTTCTGCACCAGGCTGGCCTTCATACTGTGGAGGGAAAAAAACAGCTAAAAGCAATCCCAGAACAGCAATGTGCCCCCTCAAAACCCTTTATTTTTGCTTCAGCTTTTTGGGAGGTGGGGGGGGGATGGTCGGACATGAAGCTCAGCCCCACTCAGAAGCTCTTTGCAATGGGCCTTTTTGGTGCCTCATAGCTCTGGAGTTGCTTTGGGCTTTGTTTTGCAGCACAAAACCCAAGCCCAGCCATCAGATCAGACACACCTTATCAGCAGCAGGAGCAAACAGATGATGATGGTCAGCTGGGGCACTGAAGCACAGGGTGCAGGCAGCCAAAAGGACATTGATGGGGTGAGACACTTGGGTAGGAGGAGCTGAAGTGTCCCTGTAGTCAAAAGTGTAGGTTGGCTACCAAGCATCCAAATTTTGACCACATGACAACATGAATGCTGCAATGTCATAATAACTTTGAGCAGTTGTTGAACACATATTTGCCTGGGATTTCATGTGTTACAAATTACATTAAAGTATAATACTCCTTTCATTTATTTTATATATAAAGTCAGCTAAATGTAATGTATCAGTAATTAGATTCAGTAAATGTTTGCACCACCTTTAGAGTCAATAACTGCGACTATAGCTTCCGTATTTGATGAGAAGTAGCTCACACTGCTGTGTAGAAATGTGGAGATCTGCTTCAACTCAGTAATATTCATGGGGTTTCTAATATGAACTGCATTTTTTAACCTTCCAAAACATTGGATTTAGACTTCTTCATCTATTCCCTAATAGATGTGCTTCTATGTTTGGGATCTTTATCTTTATACACACTTGTGCTTCAACTTCAGCTGATGAAGATATGGCCTGATAATCTTCTGTGGAATTTATGTTTCTTTCAATAATGGCAAGTTGATGAGGCAGCAAAACATTATTATCATTATTATATGTAATATCCCAACTGTATTTTGTACAACTCAAGAATGCATACATCATAAGTGGGAATGAGTGACTGGCCTGAAGTCACCCAGGTGTCTTTCATCTTGAAACCATGACATTACGCTTCCTTACTTGACAGCTGATATGAGATTCTTCTTTTAAAATATGGTTTATGTATGTCATTAACAATACCTACGTAGTCTAAAAAAGTTTCACTCCTGACTCATCTGTCACCACAATGTAAAAAAGGTGTTGAGACTCTAGAAAAAGTACAGAGAAGAGCAATAAAGATGATTAGGGGACTGGAGGCTAAAACATATAAGGAATGGTTGCTGAAATTGGGTATGTCTAGTTTATGAAGAGAAGGATGAGGGGTGACATGATAACAGTCTTCCAATATCTCAGAAGAAGGAGTCAAGCTATTCTCCAAAGCACCTGAAGGCAGGACAAGAAGCAACGGATGGAAACTAATCAAGAAGAGAAGCAACCTAGAACTAAGGAGAAACTTCCTGACAGAACAATTAACCAGTAGAACAACCTGCCTCCAGAAGCTGTGAATGCTCCAACACTGGAAGTTTTTAAGAAGAGAATGGACAGCCATTTGTCCGAAATGGTATAGGGTTTCCTGCCTGAGTAGGGAGTTGGACTTAATGACCTCCAAGGTCCCTTCCAACTTTATATTACTATTACTGTTGTTGTTATTGTTGTTGTTATTACTACTACTACTACTACTACTACTACTACTACTACTACTACTACTACTACTACTACTACTACTACTACTACTACTACTACCGTATCCCTCCAGCTGTCCAGAGAATCTCCAAACACTTTTGGGGAAACTTAAAACCTCATTCTGGATTTCTTTCTGACACTTTGGATGATTTTATGCTGTGCTCTCAGAGAAAATATGATATGATGATGGATTAATTGTGTCCCAAAACTCCTTTCAGCCCTAAGATTCTCACTGTGGACTGGCAGATCACCAGTTTTAGAAACTTGATCATTTTTTCTAAACTAATAGGCATAACTATTTTTATTACAAAGGTCTTCAGAAATCTGAGTGGGGCATGACTTGTCTCTAAAATTTGAATAGTGAAAACTTCGCTACGATGAAAATATCCAAAGTTTATCAAAATAAGGTAAATCAACTCTAACTGCTTGATAGTTTAATTAAATAGTTGGATAACTGGACCTAATTATTCTTTTAACTGGCTCAATTAAACTAAAGGAGTGATTATTTTTTCACACCGATACATTACATTCTTGATGACTTTGTTAATTGAAAAGACAGGCATTAAAAAAAAACCCAAACAAACCAAAGGTGGGAAATGCTCTTTTACAGAACTCTAGATCAGCAGGAAGATGTCGCCTCTACTCCCAAAAGCTTAGCTATCTGATATATAACAGAGGGGTTTCTCTGATGTGGCTCCCACTCTATTCAATGCTTTCCCTAGAGAAGTAATTTAGTTCCTACTCTTTCAATAGTCAGAAAATAGCGAAGTACATGTTTCATCAGACTTTTAGCTGTCAGAATGATTTTTTTACTATTTTGAATTCACTTCTGATTTTAATTCTATAGATTTTATTATTGTTTTACATGTTTTATTTTATTATAGTGAGCCACTTTGAGTCCTCATATAACGAGAAAAATACAAAATATAGGAATCATAATCACTTGTTTTTTGAAAAAATAAATAACATACCCTTAATATTTGACATGGTAGTAAAATGTTGTAGCAGCTGTTCCCCTATCCTTTATCCCCTATCCTGATTCCCCTATCAATAAAATAATATAATCACGTGGGACCCAGCAGGTGCATTTCCTGTTGCTGCATCTATCCTTTACAAAAATATTCCCATCACCATCACTGCATGTCACCAACCCTGTGCTGTCCTTTAGGCAGGCCTTCAAGGTGTGGCTCTTCCCACAGACATTGGGTTAGGATGACATGTCAACCTGCTAAATTTGTGTACTGGGCATCTGTCTCCTCCTGGCACAGATGTTTTTATTGTTGTGGTCCTTCTGTTTCTTTCTACAGTGATGTTTTTAATCCTTTTGTAAGCTTCTCAGAGTCACTTGATGAGTGGGCACCCTTAGAAACTGGAGGAAGTAGGAAGGAATAAATATATATTGATTGTATAAATTATCTATTTTAATGCCCACATTTTTATATTCACTGAAACAACAGAAATGCACCTCTTTGGGGTATAACCCAAATTAGTAATACTGCTGATACTTTGATTTTGACAGCTGAACAGATTCCCAGTATTCGCTTACTTAATTTGTCGTTCAAATGATAAACAGCTTGAAAAGTTAGAGAGGGCAGCAGTGGGTACAATTTGTCTTCCATGTATTTTAAAAGGACAAATTAATCAGTATTGTAAAGTCTAATTTTGAGAAAAATGTATTCAACCTACTTGCTTTTTAACATGTACAAAGCATTTTTAAAATAAAAAGCAGACAAAAGGTAAAATAATTAATTCATTGTATTAGAATAAAGAACTTACTCAAAGTCTTCAAATTCCAGGTCATTTCCTTCTACAGATGGACCTGCATTCTCAGAAGTGGAAGCAGAAGATGAGGAAGAGCGGAGGCGATTTTGCTGATACCGCATGGAGCGCTGGCGAATGCTATCTCTGCGTGAAAGATACTGGATCATTCTCTGGGCATAATAAGCAGCAGGTGACAATCTGAAAAATTAAAATATTGCTGTTAGCTCAAAAACAAATCATGCTTCTTTACATTGTAGGATTATAATACAATATTATTACTTATATTTTTGTCTGAAATAAATAGAGGACTTGTTCTAGTTTCTGCATATGGATTTAATTATGAGCTAGAGATCTCTGCTTGAACATCTTTATCTAAAATCCTTTATGTTTTGTTTATGCGGTTTCAAATTCACTTTATAATATAGAAGTTTGAAAACATTAATCAGAGTAATAGGAAGGCTGATTGACACGACTAGTCCATGCTAACATGGCTTAATGAAGTATTTAAAAAGCAAGCTGAATACTTATACTTATTTTTTAAAAATATTTTTACTTTTTTATTATTTTATACTAATAAAGAAGAATATTTGTAGCTCAGGGTTGACATGAGGGGTCCTTGGTGCTCTTTGAGTTTGCTTGTTTTCTTGCAGACGTGTCATTACTCAAACTAGGTAACATCATCAATGCTAGTAAGGAGTGTTGTTTGTTGTCAGTTTATATTCTAGTGCAGAGGTATCAAACTGCCGGCCCATGGGCCGGACACATCATCCAGAAGCCGCGCCCACCCCAATGCCGGCAATAGCAAAATCGTCCCGATATGTTGCACAGCATCAGGTGACGTCGCGAGTTTGGCATTTCTGTTCTAGTGGCTTGCCTGTCAGTATTGGTGGGGGTGGTCTTAGAGATTCTTTGATTGGACTGTTGGCTGTTGGCTTCTTTGGCAGTTTCTTGATTGAGGTATTATTTGATTGCTGATCTGATGTTAAGATTGGAGTTAATCTATGCTGATCTAAGTGCTGATTGCTGGTGGAGAGTTCCTTGGGTCTTTTTGTTCCTTTTGGGGCTGGGTGATAGTCTCTATATCTATCATGTTTCCCCAAAAGACCTACCCCAAAAATAAGCCTTCGCTTGAGTTTTGGGGTGGGTCTAATAATAAGCCCTACCCCAAAAATAAGCCCTAGTTTTGCGAGGCGCACACCTAAAAATCAACCTAGGGGTTGGTGGGGGGAAGAGCTGCCCCTTGCGCCCCGCACCCACTTACCATTGCAGCCAGGCCTCCCATGGATTGACACTTGCCTTGCCTCGCCTCACCAGCCCACTTCTTCTGCGGCATCTCCTGGTCTGCATTTTGCCGTCAGAGGCTTTTCCAGAAGGCATCTGACAGCGAAATGCAGGCCGGAGCTCCATTTTTAGCTGCAGAATGAAAGACACCTGGTGCCTCTTTTGGAGGCAAAAAAAAAAAAAGACTGGGTCTTATTTTCGGGGAAACATGGTATATAGTCTATAGATGTTGTTAATGTCTACTGATGGCTGATTTGTCAGGGTGCCAGGTTTCTAGAAATTCCCTGGCATTTGAAGTACCTGGTTGTTTGAAGTGGAGAGTTAATGGAGCGTTGGAGCCAACCCAATCAAAAATCAGGGATGTGACTATAGATGAGGACGAAATCCTGGTCTCATTTGATGTCACAGCCCTGTTCACTTCTACAGATCCAGAACTACCCAAAGAAATCCGTGACTACATTGCTCCACAGCACACCTGACTTATTAACCAAATACATGAAGATCAAAACACCCAGGATCATGGATCTCATGAACCTCTGCTTTTTTTCCTCTCTCCCTATCTTCTCTCTTGAAAGCAATAAAATAAAGGATAGGGGAACAGCTGCTACAACATTTTACTACCATGTCAAATATTAAGGGTATGTTATTTATTTTTTCAAAAGTATATTATGCTACATTCTTTCTGTAATTTGAAATAAAATATCTACTTCAAAAGAAAGCATTTTTTTCATCCATTTCTTGCACTTGAACTCTGAGTGGCACACAAGGGCATATTCCAAAATGATTCAAGCCAAGGCAAAATAGTAGACTGGGAGAAGGACAAACCGATATGAGATTTAAAGTAGAATATGTGTGCCTTTCTGCAAGTTTATTGTAGGAAATAAGTTCATACTCATAGAGTTTAAATATTATTTATTCACTTCTGGCATTAGACTGATATATTGTGAAGTCAAGGTAAAGAATAGATTCACCTGATTACTTAAACATAATTCTCCTTGGAAATATTTTTGATTGTTCTAAGTCCTGGCCCAAATCATACAATGAGCTTCTTTGGCTTAGGGTAGACTAGATCTGGGTTACTCGGCTCCTAATCCAACTTTTTAATCACTTCACAGCCCTCTCTCTGCACTCCTGGCCTACTGGAAAGTCTTTTCCATCTGTGTCATGGGGGTCCCACCAGGAATGCTGAAATCATCCAAGATGATAAATCAAGGCCCACTTCTAGTTCAGTCAGAGAAGTTGCCAGGGAACATAATAAATTATCCTGTCCTTTATCTGTCCTATCTTGCTGGCCAACATCAAGTACATGCCATCAAAACTGGTACCAGAATATGTTTCTATGTTCTTCCAGATTAAAACAAAGGGCATCTTAAATAAAAGCAGCCACTATAAAAACAATGGCATCCTTTTAATCAACCTTTATACAGTAATACTTTATTGTATCAATACTTTATTCCAATATTTCATAATTTGAGCAGATTGGCTGAGCTTGGACCACTGAGTGCTCTCTATGTGGGGCTGCCCATGCAAAGCATTCAGAAGTTGCAATTGACCTATGATGTGGCAGTACTGGCAGCATGTCAATATATGTGTATGTAAAGTTACTGCTCTGCAAGCTATACTGGCTCCCAATAAGGCTCCAGATGAAATTCAAGATGCTAGCTGTTACTTATAAAGCCCTACATGGCACAGCACCAGGTTATTTGCAGAACCATCTATTTTTGATGGTTTCTACTCACCCCACCAGATGTGATAAAATGGGTATACTCCAGGTTCCTTCACATCTCTTTATTGTGCAACCTTTCCTATGGAACTGTTCACCCTCCCCCGATTCAGATGGCCCTGACCATGTAGGGCAGGTATGTCAAACTCGCGACATCACATGACGTCACGCAACGTACTGGGCCGGTTTTGCCATTGTCGGCAATGGGGTGGGCGCGGCTTCCAGATGACACGTCCAGCCTACGGGCCGGCAGTTTGACACCCCTGATGTAGGGTTTCTATAAGGCATTACAGACCTGGCTTTTATATAAAGCACTCAATCTATGAGGTCAGGTGAGCCTGGTAGGTTACTTGTTTGCTGTCAAACAGTAAGAGGGAAGGGATTTATTGGACTTCTGGCTCATTGTATATTGATTATTATTGTAATTGTTTTAATTGTTTTGGACTGCTGTTACTTCTCTTTTATTATTGTTAGCTACCCAGAGTTGAGCAGTGAGTTAAGCTGCCATATAAATTGTTTTAATTTATTAAATGAGATTTTTTTTAAGAATGATCAAATTACCAGATATAAAATATACTTAATAAAGGAAGAGTCTTATTTAAAGCATACATTCCCCAACTGTGTAAAAAAATAAAAGCAACTGTTTTGTAATGGAATAAAGTATGGAATACTACTATTATCTGCTGACATTTTCACTATTTTTTGGTATGCACTTTCTTCCAGAGAGGATAATTCTAATATCTGACTCAGCACATATAACACATGATAGTGATTATGACTGTATCAGATGTAGACAGACAATGGGGAAGGATTTCCTTCAGCGCTGTTTATAGGCTCCAAAAAAATTGGAGTTGCCCACTGTAGAAACTGGATATTGTATTAAGTAGGCCTTTGGATTCATCCTGCAAAGCTTTTACATTTCACTTAACGAACAATTACTTTTCTGACAAAAAAATAACAAAATCTGACTAACAAGTAGCTGTGGTATATAATAGATGATGTTAGAAAACGTTATGCAAAAATACACCTTAGGCTGTAAAAAGGCATAAAACAAGACTATTTAAATACAGGTACATGTGAATTGGGTGGCTGACAGCTTTAAATGTATTAACACCAACATCTTGAAACAAAAATCCAAGTAATAAAACAGCTTTCAAGAAAAGGTTGAGTGCAACCTTTACAGCAGTAGCATCACTAATGACGTTTCCTCTGTAATAATAATTCTTTTCATAAATTAAACAGAAAAGCAAGAGATTGAATTTTGATCCCCAAAAGCTCATTTATCACAAAGCTAGTGTTTATTTATAAAACAAGCTGATTTGACAATTTTTAAGGAAATGTTCATGGAGCTTGGAAGACTGGGTCTCAAATATTTGTATTGCAAACCTCTGTGAACTGTGACATTTCAGAAATTGTCACCTATTTTGCTTATCAATGACCCTATCACCTTGATTTTTCTAACTTTCATATAACTCATTTTTCAATACTTTCTTGCCTTGATTCAATCGATGAGATCTTTTCAAAACATCTCATTATTTCCAAAAAGATCACTGTTGCTTTAGCATATTTAAACACGGTAAATATGAATCACAGAAGTAATTGATTTAATGTACAATATATTGATCACCTTACTTTTCCTACAATGTTTCCCTTCTTCATCAATCTGCATTAACAGAACAATCTTTCTCTAACTGCTCATTCTTCCATTAGTAACATTATTCTCATTCATTTTAGTCATATGGGCAGTCCTTGATTACAATAATTTATTTAACAACAGTTTGAAGTTACAACAGCATTGAAAAACAGTAACTTACAACCAGTCCACACTTACGATCATCAAACCACCCTCATAGTAATGTAGCCAAAATTTAGGTTCTTGGCAACTGCCATGTACAGTAGTGGCCAAACCTTTTGGGAAAAGTGTACAGTAGAAATGCCACCTTTGGTTAAGTTTCCACCATTTTTTCTTCTAATTTCTTTATAACTGTAGCCTTGTTCACTTAATAATACTATTTTACATCGCTTTCTGGGCAACCAGTCAACTCTTTGCACCATTACTTTAATTTTATTACGTTTTACAAGCTCACTAAATGAAAGAACACAAAAAAACCCCAAACAACTTGATAGCGATCACATAACACAGAGACAGATGTCCTCCTCTCAGCTTCAATACATGACATCAATAACTGAATCCTACTGTGATCTGATTGGCTCATTGCCAAAACAAGATGACACCTGATTGGCTCTCTAAACACTCATGCTCATTGGCTACAATCACATGAAGGAAAGCTACCTGATATCAACCTAAGCAAGTTGTGCTTCCTTTTTCTGGTTATTTGGCTATAACTTTTCATAGAATACAGTACAGATAATTGAACAAACTATGTTGTATTACATTCTTGATTAAACTATCTTTCCATTGATATATAATCTTATGGTACTACTCCAAAAAAAAGTGGTGTTATTAGCCATCAAACCTCAAAAATACACTTTTCCCAAATGTTTCCACAATTTTGGCCACTACTGTATTTACAATAGTTGCAGTGTCACCTGATGACTATTTGCAACGTTCCCAGCTGGCTTTCAACAAAGCAAAGTCAATGGGGGAAGCCAGATCTGCTTAAGGATTGCATTGTTTGCTTAAAGACCATGGGAGAAAAAGTCATAAAATTTAGCATGGCTCACTTAATGACCGCACTGCTTAGCAATGAAAGTTCCAATCCCAATTGTGCTTACAGGTTGAGGACTACCTGTATACCTTGTTTCCATAATCCATTTTGCTTGAAGACAGGTTTTAGGATTCTAGTATTTGAGTGAGCAGACACGGAGTCCACATTTTTCCAAATTATGTTTTATTCATGTTTTTTTTAAAAAAGGACTTATCAACAGTAGAATCTGTATCTAAAAATATGTTTATATTATTTCCTGTTATTTCACCATTTCCTAATTTTTCAAAAGTACTTTCAATAAATATCACTGACTATTCTTTTAATCCCCATTTTACTCCAATCCAAATAAGTTAATATTTTCTCCTATTATCAATTTTATTTTTAAAAAATTATATGGCTCTCCATCTCAACAATCTTAGCAATATACAAAAAATAAACAGACCACAACAAAAAGGACAATGGTCTATTTTCCTAATTACTATTTATGAAACCCTATTAACAATTTAGCACATCTAAGTTCTATTCTAATTTGCTCAGCTTTATTATTCCATGTTGTTTATAGAGTCTGTGAAGTCTCTGTTTAAGCTCTGTAAAGCTTACCATGTTTCACTATCTAAAACAGACACTGAACTGCCCAGGTCACAAAATTTCTAAAGATATATATTAAGGAATACTTAAACCCAATTTCCAATTATTTTTTAATGCAGGTACTGATCATTTACAGAGTGACCATTAATAATAGGGACAGTCTTTTATCAAATCAAGTTTATAGTGTAATTTATTTATTTAGTACTACAAGAGGGGGAAAAAAGGAAAGAAGAGGTTACAGTAACAATGAAATGACTAAACTCCATTACATATTTTCATCTCTCATTTTGTAGGACTATGAGGACAAAGGGCTTAAGCAAAGACTTTGTGGGAAACACTGCTTGTTGAAGAAATAAATTATATATGGTATAGGTTTCTGTGAGCAATTTCTAGGAATAAGAGAACAAGAAAGTAAGTTCTATTACATCATTATCTCCTCTTTTGTATATGTTTATTAAAATAATACAGTTGGAACTCAACCAGAATTCCATTCAGTATATTCTTTTACAGTTCTCAAGAGAAACTTATTTTTATTTATTTTATTTTATTTATTTAGGAGCACGATCAATATTTAAAAGAAGACCATATTGCAATACATCACATATAAAAGCAATCCTATAAACTAGCAATAAAATAAAATTTATGCAGAAAAGACTGAAGAAATTTACAGTGTAAAGGAGATACCATATGATTTTGGCAATCCATATGGCTATTGTTAAAAAATTAGCAACCTTGTTTGTAATATTTACCTAGGAGAAAAAGAATAACTTTCTGTTCAGAGGAGCAGAAGATTGCTATCAACTGATGTTATGAGTTCCATCTTTCATTTATTGTTCAGAAGGCATTCAAGTAATACATGTGAAACAGATCCTGCTTCTGTATCAGAACATGCACAAAATGCAATCTTTATAGGGAATATTGATTTATCTACTAGTTGTTGCCCCTATAAATAATTTGCCAATTTGGGCCAAGATGAAAAGTCTACTATGTGAAGTATGGGGAATGCTATAAAAATATCTGGGAATGGAGCAAGGAAGGATGGTTACAGATGGAGGTGACAAACTTAGTTCCATCAGTTTGGAGATTTAGATCCCAGTTCATCTACTAAAGGCTGACTACAGTTTTATTGGGGATGAAACCAGCTAATGTTGGAAAAGAAAAGCCGCCATAAACCAGATTGAGATTGATTTTTCTTGTTAAGGAAGATTCAAACCTACATAGTGAGGTGAGAATTTGCTTCAGTCAGAATCTGAGGAAACGGAGCTTCAAATGGGTCCCTAACAAAGCAGGGCCCAAAGTGGCCGACCTACGGGACTGCTAAACTTAGTGGGGCAAAGAACAAGCAGCTGGGGGGGGATGTTCGAGAAAGTAGTAATGGAGTGTTGATGAGGAGCCCAAGGATTGGGGGGGGTTCCCTCAGTTTCAGTCAGATGGAAGACCCAGGCTGGAGAAGAGGACACGGCCCGGGTCACTGGTGGCTGTAGAATCAAAGCCAGATTTTGCAAGCAGAGGGCAATAAAAGGGTTGGTGCTTCAGTGACACCTTTATGGCCATCTTGATCTTTTTGATCAGGATGGACAGTTGCCTGAAATGGTATAGGGTCATCTGCTTGAGCAGAGGGTTGGACTAGAAGACCTCCAAGGTCCCTTCCAACTGTATTCTGATTGATTGATCCTAAGGAGATGCATCTTAATTCCATAAGGACACAATAAAAAATCTAGGTAATAATCTTGTAAAATTTGGACTGTTTAGTTTCTTACCTAGAAACATCCTTATAAAAACATAATTGGGTGCCATATAGAACTGAGCCCAGCACTTTAACTCTGAATAATTTGACAGCTGCTGCTACATGCGTAGGGCATGCATATTTAATAACTGCAAAGGATGCTTTTGGAGATTTCGTAAGAAAGTCCTTTGTTTAATTAATCCACTGAGTAAATAATTGAATGTCTACATGCTTAGAGGTTGTAACTTGCTCTGTTGGGTTTACAATTGATCTTCCAGCTAATTCAAGACTTGAAACACTTTTTGGGGAGAATATTAAGAGCTTTGTTTTAGAATAATTGATCACAAGGCATTCCCTATGGAAGTTAAAGTTTCAAGGCGTCTGCACAGGCCCACCAATTTTATGGAAAGATTAGTCACATCATCGGCTGAGAACAGAATTGGAACAAGGTGATGGACTAAAAATGAAGAGTGAAATTCTGGTTTAACAGACTTCTATCATATCATTAATAAACTACACACACACACACACACACACACACACACACACACACACTCTTATACTTTATATGCAACAATATAAAATTCTACTGTTTCAAGAAACTTGGGAAATAGAGCCTCCTTTTAATACATATATATACATACATACATACATACATACATACATACATACATACATACATACAATGGTTACTTACTCTCTCTGTTAGGCCTAGCCAGAAAGGTGGCTGGGGCTTTCAAGGAAGAAAATATTTACCTGTGGAATTTTTTTGTGATCAATTACCTGTTACACTCCCTCTAAAAATTGGCCCTATCACTCCTTCTTTTAAATGTTTACTTTCCATTTAAGAACAATACTTCCCAAATTAACAGTAGTTGGGATCATTTGATTCTTAGATTTCACAACTAAATTTTCAAACTGCAATCATATTTGTCAATGAATTTAATGCTATGGACCCAATGACAAGGCTATTTCCGTATTATAACATCCATACTCCTCAGTAACCACTTTTTCTTCATGAAAATCAAAAAATGCTGAGTTTAATATAGGAGAATTGAGGTTGTGACAAATGATATCAACATTTGATCTGAAAATGCTTATGGAGCTATGCCCAGAGACGAGCTAACCTTTTAGGATCCTTAACAGGAGGAGTCTCAGCATTAGATTATAGTTTTAATGCCTAATTACTTTGCCCTTCATTGTATTTCCACATTGCTTTCCATCTGTGAAACAGCCACTAACTCTTGAAAGGATCCTTCACTATTAAATTAGTGAAGCAGAGCCAGCCTTTACAAAACCCTGACTCTCTGGTTACTGACAATTATTTCCAACCAATATAGTCTAATAAGATGCCTAAGGCCATGGCACAATTCTCTGAAGTGCCAGAAGTCAATAATCTGAAAGGGTGTATAAGCACGGCTAGTAACACTTTGCCACATTTCAACAAATGATCATTTATGTTTAAAAATTACCTAAAACCTGGTCAACCCCCATCCCCTTTTCTTTCAAACCAGCCATTTAAACCTTGGTTTAACAGAGAATGTGCTGCTGTTAAAGCACTGGTAATTTGTGCTTACAGGAATGCCCAAATATATAATCATCCTTCTTCATGGAAAAATCTCAGTACTCTAAAAAAGAGTTACACAAGATTTCTAAAGGAGAAGAAACAACATTATGTATCAAAGAACTGGGTAAAACTTCAACAGACTAAAACAAGCAAAGATGTTCTCACATCTCATCTCCCAATCTTCAGTAAAATACAGTTTTGACTAACAACAATAATTTAATGTTTACTGATTCTTGGAATAGGCATTTTTACCTTTTATTCAATATATCTGTAGGTGGAGATCCTTCTATTTTGCCATCAGACGATCCCCTTTCTATCTAATATAAAGAACTACAAAAACTAATTTCTCAATTAAAAAATATCAAAACTCAAAGAAAAGACACAGTTTTACTCCAGTTCCTAAAATCCAATCCCATCAGGTAAGCATTTGCGCTATTCCCTCTCTTCACTGACATAAATAATTATTTCCAGATTCCAAAAGATTGGCTTAATTCCATTGTTCTTCCTATACACAAAAAGTCTGATCCTACAATTATTGCCCTATCAGGACAATTACACAGAACCCAATTCTGTTCTTACCTAGCTGGATCAGGATAGATAGGATGTTCGCGGGATCCTGCCCCATCATAACGTGAGAGTGAAATGAGTGAAGATTCCAACAGCCTCCTACAAAACAAAAGCAAAAAAAAAATTAAGTATTCATTATTCCACCTCTTTGGTTTCTTGTCTCCTCCAAAATGAAAATTCTGAATGTCTTGAATATCACACATTTGTTTTGATTTTTTTTGCTTATTTTGGCCCAACAGTCACCCTAAGCACAGCAAATACTTCAACTCTATTAAAATATTGCCTGCTTTCTCCTTCCCCACATGTTTATTATAAGGGTTTGGCTAAAAATGGTACCATTTATGATGTAATCACCATATGATCCAAAAGAAAAATTAGCATTTGTGTGTTATATTAATTACCTACCAAGAGGCGAGAAATCCTACAGATTGGGAACCTGGAGCTGTAGGAAATGATATGCAGTTCCCAGATAGACCTCCTGGTTTAACTACTGTAAGTTCTTACACAATTTTGTTTTATTTAATATTACAAAAATGTAAATGTAATAGATTATGGAATTACCACTGCGTTACAGATATTATGATACACATACAGAATAGGGAGTTGGGCTAGAAGACCTCCAAGGTCCCTTCCAATATCATCATCATCATCATCATCATCATCATTATTATTATCATTATTATAGTTACCCTTGGCAATCACCATTTTCCCAGTACAAAACCTAAGATACCCTATAAGAAATATTTTTAATCACATATACAGCATAGAGCATATAGAGCAGTGTTTCTCAACCTTGACAATTTTAAGGCATGTGGACTTCAACTCCCAGAATTCCACAGCCAGCAATGCTGGCTGTGGAATTCTGGGAGTTGAAGTCCACATGCCTTAAAATTGTCAAGGTTGAGAAACACTGATATAGAGTGTCAAAAGAAGTGCCTGGGAACTCTTATGCAAAGCTTTCTGCATATATTTTTCAAGTTTTTTTTTCCTCTCTGTACAACAGTACTTTCAAGATTGGAATATAATTGTGTGAGGAGCAAGTCTAATTTCTAAAAGTAGGAAATTATGTGCTGCTTTTGAATACATTTGAGTTACCCATGTTTATAATGAGTAATAAATAATATTAAAAAATACACTGCAAATCCCTCCCCCAGCCCAGTACAGGAAATCACAATTACTACATACCATAGGCCAATTGCCAATCTTTTTGTGACAGTAATTAGATTAGTGCAATATACTTTGCTCATGGCTGTCCTTGAAGACGTTTCAGAAGCTGCAATTGATTCAAAATGCAATGCCCTGACTGCTGACAGGAGGATGTATGTCCATAGTACGACACCAATGTTGAAGTTGAGATTGTTAGTAATAGGCTTCCAGATCCAACATATAGATCAATTGGTTCAATCCCTCCCCAGTGCAGGAATCCACTAAAACATCCAAACCTGTTTGAAACCTTCAGGAATGTAAAATGTGCCCTAGTTCTAGGTTAGATCACTGCATTACTTAAAAGCTCTTGCCATCAAGAAAATCCCAATTTTCAACCTGAATCTCCATTGTTTTAATTTTAACATGATGGACCATGTCTTGCTTTGGTTGCAACAAAAACAAGCCCATTCTCTAGCCTTTTCAATATCTGAAGACTACATTGTACTCTTATGTTCTCTTCTGTGAGTTAAACATGCCAAGCTCTTAACTCGAGATGACCTCCAAGGTCCCTTCCAACTATTATTATTATTATTATTATTATTATTATTATTATTATTATTATTATTATTATTATTATTATTATTATTATTATTATGGATCATCGCATTATGGATTTGGCATTTTGTCTACCTATCGAGTCCTTACCCAGGACCTGGGATAGGCAGATGTGGATGTTTGATGGTATTACAGATATCGTCGCAGGATGGAAGCAGTTCCTAGTAAGGCCGCCTTTTGCAATTGACTAATAGCGAATTTGTCAATGCCAATGGTGTTCAAGTGGTGCTCCAGTTGTTTTGGGATTGCACCC